TTAACCAATTGCAACAATGTTGCAATTGGTAATTAGAGGCTCTCCTAGGTGGCCGCTGTTCGACTACCGACCATGCGGCAGTCGGCCATCTTGGATCCTTTGTTCCCTCAGCGGTGTTTGGTCGTCGAGCGCATGGTACTAAAAACGGCTACTCGACGGTGCGAACACCGCTGAGCTTCCAGGCCATTCGGGAGTTCCGGGCCGTTCGGTATTATGTTCCCTAGACTTCAATCGGTCTTCTGAATATATATTTTAATGAATGTGTTTTTCGTGCGGCGTTCGGTTGTTTTAGCTGGGATCTGAGCGGTAATCTCATGAATGATGCGCTCAGACCCCAGCTATCTACCGAACGTCCATTCGTGCAAATCAACCTGATATTTGAAAAGTTGTATATTTTAATATAAATTGCCAGTTCTGCTGCACAGAGGGATAATCAACTTAAAGGTACATTCCAGTGGGAGGATCCCTCTCGTGCAGCAGTGCCTGATGGGAGAGAGGCTCTGTAATGTAAGTTCCCCACGTAGTCCACTCTGGGAATACCCCTGGGATAGGACTCAGGAAACCCCTTGCATGGGGAATTGTATAAATTGTGGAGCCTGTGAATAAAGCCTTCAGTTGACTCTCAGAACTGTGTTTTGTCCGGTTACTGGGCGATTTGGGATATTGCCTTGCTTTTCAGCGCTTGACTGTGTATTACTTCCTGAACCAGCGGAATTCGTGGATTTAATACTGCCGATCCGCTACACCCTGCTATAGTTCATGTACCAAAGTTAGCATTAGAAAACCAATTGTATGAGATGGCTATTAGACAGCGATGTTTACTATGGGATCAGCTTCAATATTTCTGGACTGAGTGGAAAAACAGGTTAAAATACATTTTAATTTATAATGAAAGATATTCAAACTGTAAATTATTAGTTGTACAAGCTTGTTTTATTAGTTTTACGTAGATATATTATAATTGTTGTATTATCGATAAATATAGACATATTAATATTGCACAAAAGTATTGTAAATTCGGTTGGGTCCTCCCCCCACGTTTCCCCTTACATTTTTTAAAATTGTTGTTCATTTAATTATTGTTGTTTTTATTTTATTATAATGTTAAAAACCTAATAAAAACTATTTGAAAACACTCCAAACCGCAAAAAAAAATCCTCTTAAATTCTCACTTTAGCAAATAGCCCATGTTTTGCATATTTATGCATCTCTCCTAGTGTTCTATTTTGTAACTACAGTTAATCAAGCTGTAGTAAATGAAACCTCAATCCATAATATAGATATTTCTATTATGCACAGCAATCTCTTTATTGATTGGCTAGTACATGTTTCCTATAAAGCTGCAAATTAATGTTTCTGTGATATTACATACATATATGTAAACCTAGTTTGTTTTCGGATGCATATTACATACAAAACTATGACAAAGGATATATACAGTGAATTGCGATGATCTGATCAATGGATGGGCTACTTAAAAGCCAAATGAACTCTGTAAGAATAATCCTCCACTTCAGCTATTTTCTCAGCTAAGTTATCTTTGCCTAAATTTAGCAAATTTAATTTCCCAAAAAACAATTAACCCCTGTTCAGTGTTTAATACAGTAAATTAAATCATGAGTAAAAACAATGTTTGTTGTTTAACAAATTTTTACTCAGAGGGGAAACCATATGTATATTTTGGAAGTTCTCTCTATAATCCTCAGCATCTTTGCCAGTGGGTTTATCCAAACAGAATCACATTGCCGTGTTGTAAGCAATCTGCCTTCAAGATTATCTCCAAATGCAGTCAGCTCTGGAGCTCAATTAATTAACTATGTGAAGGAGAAGATTTATCAACTCAAAACCGGTGCTGTCTTGTGGCAAAGTGCTAAATAAAGTGCAGTCACCATGGAAACAAATGTAATATTTTATGATCAACATATATTCTAACCCTCTCCTCAGAAGTGTTGCTGTGATAATGTTCACCCACAGTGTGTGTGGGTGTGTGTACATACTTGTTTCAGTAAAGCAGTGATGTCATCACTATTATTAAGGAGATTTGTTCCCCCCAAAGAGATGTGCGAAATTAAGTGTCATGAAGCGGAGAGATGAGCTGGAACCCATCAGTCTCTGGGAGCTGGCAAAGCACTGTTATTGTCTGTTTCTGTTGAATGCGGTGATGACAGTTTGATGAATAGAGTGGCAATTAGAGAGAGGAAGATGTTCTCCCGGCCTTTGTGCTGCCTCCCTTAGCACAACAAGGCTGCTCAGGGACTGTAGTATTGCTAGCAGATAATACAGACAAGGTGTCATTCAGCTGCTGTCTCCCCGAGCCTAGGGGCTGCTTTGGTGGTTTTGCTGCAATTTATGCAAAAATTATTGTCAATATATTTATTGTTTGCATTTCTAACAACATATCAAAGTTTTCTCTTTCCATATGTTTTATTATATCATTCAGATATAATAATCTGTCTTAGAATCTATCTTTTTGTCAGTATAATACAATGCATTGGAGAAAAAATTGAATTGGGGTCACATCCAGAACATTTCTCATCAATTGTGCTGCCATAGAGACCAACATACAAAATACAGATTAAGGAACAGCACACAAATACAAGTAGAGTTTTACATTTTATAAGGCTACTTAAAATCACCAACTCGTCTGTGACGAAAGTAACCTTTTGGAGGGGCCTCTTTGCCAGCCCCCTACCCTGTGATTATGGCCCTGTGACAGACTGAACCTTGTCAAGGGTTCTTGGAAGGGACTGCTGGCCAGCCGGTTGCCTCAGGACTATGGGCCCTGCAATATATCTTGCCCAATGCACTTTAAAAGGCTCTGTTCATGTGAAGTATGTACTTTTGTACTCCAGACAGAGAGACTGACCTTTAGCCCTAATTCTCTGGAACTGTTTTGGGCATGGGACCATGTGCACGGTGGGTAAAAAATAAGTCTTCCAAGAATTTTCTGAACCCCTACTCCGATCTGTGTGATTTTTGGATATGTTGTTCACCCAGATCAAGGCTATCAGGGGTTGTAAGATTTATGGGGATATGTGGTGTTTTAGGGTACTTTTGGGGTTTTGTAAAATGTGTTTTTTTCTGGTTAGAGATAATTGGGTTAAAACAGTATCTGATCCAATTATCTCACAGGCAGAGGGGAGGGATTGTATGTTTGTTGTGGGAGTGTTAATTACTGTTCTGATTGGTTTGTAACAATTGTCATCCTGTCCTCCATAAGGTCCACGTGGGTGTTCCCTTGCATGGGGACTTGCATAAAAGGCCAGCTGTGGCTCCCATTAAATGAGATGCTTTACCCCTTCATGAAGTATTGGCTCATGTTTGGGGGATTGGAGAACTACACTCTTGGGATTGCTATAATCACTATACTCCCCTGAGTATAATCACTAGCTCCTCTAAGAGCTGTTCCTGCTACGCTCTCTAGAGTAGGAGAGGTCTTCCCACCGGGAGCTGGATCCTGGTCTTAGGTCCAGGGTGGGTGGAGGACGGCGAAACCCCAACCAAGCTGCGGCGGTTCATGGAGTCTACAGTGCTTATGGTGTCTGGAGTGCTTGGAGCCCTCGGTGAGCACTAGGAGCATCGATTGACGGAGGTACCTGGTCGGGGTGCCAGGCAGTCCGTCACATCATCAAACAAATATGGGGGTTCAGTTCCACCATATGGCCATATTGTGTTAAGCCCACCACTACTTTGCAGTACCCCAATATTGGTTTGTCCTACACTAATTCCAACACGGGAGACAAATTAAATAGTGCTAGTGCTAAATAAGACAATGTGTATTTTAATAATCTGTTGTAGGAGCATTGTGAATATATATATATATATATATATATATATATATATATATATATATTTGCAAAATTAATGTGATAAAAAAAACAAGTACAGTGTCAAAGCTAAACAAAAAAGGCGATAGTGCTTTGCTGTATATACTCACAATGCATGTCATATATCTGCTCTATACCGAATAAAACTTATAATTTTATTAAAGGACACAGAGGTCAATGTTATGCTTTATCTCTTCCTTTATTCCTCAGCAGCAAAGAAAGGATAGAAGATCTTTAGAAAAAAACTGAAACAATTACCCTAAGGGGTTAACCATAGCATCTTAGCCAATGAGAACAGTCCACATAGCAATATCATCCCATGTGACCCTTAGCCACTCCTCTTTCTTTGCTGCTGCCTCGGCTAAGTATGTTTTTGTTTTTTGCTGTATTTGTTTTTTCTTGTGCTTGATTGACTTTGTTTTTTCTCATAAATTGTGCCTTTTTCATTTGTGCTTGTACTTAAACAGGGCCCTGTTTGGCCCTCTGTTTTTTCTTTTACAGGCTTTCTCTCTTGGTTTCCAGCCCCCTCACCTCCTGTGGCTAACCCCCCCTTCCACTAATTTATTTCGGGTAGTTTTTACCCGTTAGCATTCCGGTCGAGTCAACCTAGCCTCCCAGTCTCAGGGCACGTCTCGGTCACCGCCTTTCCGGGGCAACCAATGTGACCGGGCCGATCACACCTGCGCAGTTAGCTGCTGCACATAGCGATTGCCATATTGGGTGTTTTTTTTTTTTTGTTTCGGCTCACGCTGCTCGTTTAAGGGTGGGTGCGAGCTGATTGGCTGCTTTATGTGCTGGACAGCCTGCCAGTGCTACCCTGGGGCTATTCCTGAGGGAACACTCGGTAAACTGCCAGCATTTTGTATCGTGCTTTGTCCTGTTAGCTTATTGTGCCTTGGTTTAACTACCTCTCGCCCAGCACCCCTTCTGTGACGAATAGTTCATTTTATCTGCAGTCTCCTTGTTAGTGTAGTATCCCTTATTGCTTATTATGCAGACCCCTAAGAAGTTTGAGGGTACTGTCCCTACCATTACTGAGAGTGCCACTAGGCACCAGCTGGCCCCTACTCCTAGACCCCCTGCCCATCAGAGGAAGAAGGTAGCTTCCACTCACTCCTGGATGCTGCGATGACCAAATCAGTCACCTAGGCCATTTATTCTGCAATGGGAGTGATGTCGGACAACTTGTCCCACTCTATTACCAATGCCCTTATGGCGTCTAGTCATGCCCCCAGTCTGACATGTCCCAAGGCCTCTGAGGATAAGCCGGTGGTCCCTAGCGGTCGTAAGGCTACGAAGAAGACTCACAATGTGGGCGAGCATACCTCCAAAACTGAACTGACTGACAGGTTGCGTCCTGTTACCACTGAGGACATGGGGCCCCTACGTAAAGAGCCATCTGCCAGACAAAAGCAGTGTGGATATGGAAGAGGGCAAAAGCCCTAACAGACTCTTCCGACTCTGGTTCTGATTCTGAGGAGGTTTCGAACAAGTCCAATGAGATCAGCCCTATTGATTCAGAGACTTCATCTCTGGACCACAGTTCATCTATAGAAACAGCCATTTGTGCTACAGAGATCACGGACGCTTCCGCCATTCTCATCCCACAGGGTGAACCCCTGTTTGACCCCGATGCCTTACAGAACCCTAGGTCGGCTGAATAGTACCCGACTGATCACGTGGCCCGGTATATCGCTGCTAGAATTAGAAAACCCCTGGAAAAGGCCACGAGGAAGAAAATAAGGGCAAAGTGACTGTGCCCTACGGTCCCCGATATGGCCTGTGCCACACCAGAAGTAGACACTAAAGTCGCCTAATTCCTGGGGACATCAGGATGGAAAGCCAAAAAGGGTCTCAACTACTCATTACATCATTGCCAAGACAAGGTGCTTGACGCATTAGGCCCTAGTGCAAACGTTTCCGACATGATCAAAGCAGCCTTAACCGATAGCACATCAGTTGATCTCATGGCCATTAGGGGTTGGGTCCAATGGTCTATTTTCTTAATTGGCAATGCTCACACCGCATTGGCCTCTGAGAGGCGTAAAGTTATCCTCATAAAGATAGACCCTAAACTTGTTAATATGGTAATATCTGAGCCTGGACCACAGGCAAAAGGCTTCCTATTCGGAGACAATTTCATGAAGGAATTGGGTACATATGTTAGTACCTTTTTTATAGCACTGGACAAGGCACAAACAAACAAGGTTTTTGGGGCCGTCTGTCCTGCCTGTCCTCCCGGGGTTCCTACCGGGGCTACCGAAGCTCCACCACACCTAGATTCCAGTATACGGAGACCAAGTCCCCTTCACCTTTTTTCCCATTCAGAAGCAGATCATGGTAGTCCCGAACGACTGGGGTACCGCGTATGGCCGACGCCCTAATGGTAAGTGCTCTACCGTTCCCCCCCCTTTGTATGTCATATGTGGGGAGCAAACTGTTCCATTTTGTCGAGCCCTGGCACAGAATAAAGTTAGATGTTTGTGTCCTCAATACCATTCTGGGTTATCGTATACAGTTTGTGCAACTCCCTGTCCAAACCTCTGCTGAACACCGGATTGTGTTTTCCCAACAGGACAGGGACCTGGTAGTGGAAGGAATCCAAGTACTACATGGGAAAGGTGCAATCTACAAAGTTCCGCCTTGCTCTCCCGGGTTTCTGAGCAACCTCTTTTTGGTGCCCAAAAAGGGTGGTAGGGTGAGGCCGGTTATCAACCTGCACCCCCTCAATGCATTTGTATGGTGCCACCACGTCAAAATGGAGTGAATCCATTGCCTTCAAGACCTTCTCAGGTTGGGTGATTGGATGGTCAAACTCGACCTACAGGACGCCTATTTCGCTATGCCGATTGCCGAGGAGTGTCAACACCTCCTTCAATTTCAATGGGATGAGAAAACGTGGAGATTCAGGTGTCTCCCCCTTTAGGCTGTCATCGGCTCCATGGTGCTTCACCAAGCTGCTGAAACCCACAGTCGCCCTCCTGGGCAGCAGAGGTGTCCGTATGATCATATACTTAGAAGATATGCTGATCATGGTGCACAATGCTCACCAGCTCCATCAACATATCTCTCCATCCATGCGATTTTTAATTTTTTTTATTTATTTATTTATTTATTTATTTTTATTTTTTTTTCATTTTTCTCTTCATTACAGGGCCCTTCAAAGACTAAAGGTGGCACAGTTATGCTTAAATCGCTCCTACTCCAATTCCGTTCCACTCAACTACACAGCCAAGGAGCATTTGGGAAGCACAGGAGGAAAATGGTCCCTATTGGAAAAATAGCTTCACATCAATGGCCGGGAACTCATAGCAGGATCGTTCGCCGTAAAGAGCCTCCTCTTTCTCACGACCCATTGCTCCATTATTCTGCGGATGTACAATATATCGGCAGTCCGCTACATCATCTATCTGGGCGGTACAAGATCCAAGATACTGGCGAACCTAGCTATGGAACTCTGGCAATATTGCCTGGATTGCAATATATCAGTACAAGCAGAATACATTCCAGGTCTGTCCAATACAATAGCGGATTGGAATTAGACATCTGCGAGACACCAGCGATTGGCGACTGGACGGCGATGCCATCCTACAACTGCAAAAGCTCTGGGGCCCAATGTAATTTGACCTGTTCACATCTTGATTGAATTCCCAACTCCCGGTGTTCTTCAATTGGAGGCCAGACCCGGACGCTCTAGCATCAGATCCCAAATTGTTCCCCGAATCAACTCACCTCCTACTAGATCCTGATGGGAACATAAACCCCCTTCTGGTGCAGGGACACCTCAGATTGTTAGCATGGCTTCTCTCCTCTCTGGGTCATGCCAGATGTTCCACAATCAACTCTCGATTACTGGCAGTAGCCTGGGCACCTGGAACAAGACAATCCTACGGTCATGGCTGGAACTCATGGAGTTGTTGGTGCATGGAACAACAAGTGGATCCCATATGTGCTCCTGTAAACTGCCTATTGCTTTTTCTTATGGGCCTATACGACCAAGGTCTCGCCTATCATACTATTAATGTTTATAGAATCGCTGGCCATCATGGACTAGAGGGTTCCCTAGTAAGTAAGTCTTTTGGTGTGTCGACTCCTATGTGGCAATAGATTTGCATGACCACCTCAACCTCGATATAAGTCAGTATGGGATGTGGACCTGGCTCTGACCTTGCTGGGAACCTGGCCACAGAATGCAGACCTCACGCTTAAACAGCTATCAGCAAAATTGGCCATGCTCCTTTGTCTGATATCATGCAAACGGGTTTCAGATGTCCAAGCATTGGACATTGATGCACGCTCCATTCACCCCTACGGGAGTTTCCTTCAACATTTCCAGATGTACTAAATCATCGATTACTTCAGTTTTCTACCCATCATTTATTCACAATGTGAAGCTCTGCCCAGTGGCTTGTCTCCGGGAATACGAGAAACGAACTCAGGCGTTTCGAAACCCAGCACATCACGAGCTGTTCTTGGCTACTAAACTACCTCATCACACCGTATCTACGGTAACACTAGCAAGTTGGGTGAAATAAATGGCTTTGGCGCACATAGATACCTCCGTATCTGGTGCACATTCTACTAGAGGGGCCATGGCTTCTAAGATTTTTAACTTCGATTGGTCTTGTGACTCTATGTTCAAGGAGTATTATTTTCACCCTACAGAACATGTCATTGATGGTTTTCACAGCTTTAAACCAGCATAATATGAGTCTCCATGTCCTTTAATAAAATTACCAGATTTGACTAATTACATTACGTAAAGTCATGATTTTATAATGGACATGGAGGTGAATATTAGCCCACCCGATACAGGTACGTTTTCAGTTACGTTCTTTTTCTTCTCCCACCCTAGGTAAGTCATAGGATTTTATTGCCTGCTATATTCTTATTTTAGTCGAATATATTTAAATCATTCAGCTTAGTCTGTACTGTGGTAACATGGTCTTTGGGACATATTTTACCATTTCTTTTCTCTGTCCCTTCCAGCATGACACTTTGCTGAGTACTACCATTAAGATCAGTTTCCTTCAGTTTCCAGTATGTGTTCCTAAAGACCCGTTCACGCGGAGGATATCAGTGGCTAGGTGGTCTGATGTGTTGATCCAGTTACTTTTATTTCATTTCTTTTCGTTGTAGGTTGGCTTTGGCATCACCAGGAAAGAGGAGTGGCTAAGGGTCACTTGGGATGATATTGCTATGTGGACTGCTCTCATTGGCTTAGATGCTATGATGCTATGGTTAACCCTTTAGGGTACTTGTTTCAGTTTTTTTTCTATGAATATCTTCTATCCTTCCTTTGCAGCTGAGGAAAAAAGAAAGAGATAAACCATAATATTCGTCTCATTGTTCTTTATAAAATAATGACTTTACGTCATGTAATTAGTAAAATCTGGTAATTAAAGTGGCATTGCTATTTAAAACCTCCTCAAATTTATGCTTTCCTGTGGTCACCTCCAAAGAAGTATCTAAAGTTATGCTCAACCCAAAAGGAATCTGGTCTGGTCTCTAAGCATACAAAGTAAATACAAAAAGGGAATTGGGGGCATAGAAGGAACATACATTTCTCATCAACGGTGCTGCCATAAACTAAATTTATACAGATTAAGGAACAATGCGCAGATAAAAACAGTTTCGATTTTATTTTTTCAAACTGATTTCTCCATACCACAGAGCTGGCTTGTTTTTTTTTGTTTCATTTTAGGGCCCTTTTGACCATCTTTGTTTCTCTACCTATTGGTGGTATTCAGTTATCCTGGCCACTTTATGGTCTGGACTATGTCTCTTTATTTTTGCTTTTTGTATCCTTCTTTGTTTGTATGTTTGGTTGCATTACCTAATACTGTGGTAGGATAAAGACAGTGTTAATAGAATATGTTACGCACCACAACCGCATACATCAGTGGGATATTGCTAAAATCTTGAATTCTACTAATTTCATGGAATTCTTGACGTATGTGGGTGAGTAGAATAAGAGATTTTTAACTGCAATCAGCCGCTTTGTAGAATATAGAATTACCCCATAATCTTGTTCTTGAACAGCAGTGCCCTATGAATAAATCCAATAGATGGCAGAGTGTTCTAGTCTTGAACCAAATTTAAGGCTCTTAATCCTTTACAATAGCACTTTCACTTTTCACATTGACTGATTTTACAGCTCAGCAGATTGCAATAGAAGTCCATTCTATAGACTTCTACTTTTTATTTCATTTTTTTCTGTACTGTGAGAGCTTAGTAATGTGCTTTCTATAATTTGCAGACATAAGCATTGGTCTTCAGTAGAAATTTGCTATATTCTGTTCTGCATCCCTTGCCAATAACCACTCACAATAGTCGCTCTTACAGGGACTTTTCAGTGTAATCCAATTTTGGGCAAAAAATATGTCCTGGAAATAGAATATAAAGTGAAATTCTCAATTTCAGTTTGGCATGTTTGCCACTGCTCT